GAAAATTGATTTATACATGTGTCAAATCATTATTCCAGGTTATGATGGCATTAGGCAGTCACCTGAGCACTGTCGAGGCGGAGAAACAGAAGCTCAAGGCTCAAGTACGCCGACTGTGCCAGGAGAATGCCTGGCTACGGGAGGAACTCTCGGTAACTCAACAGAAATTCCAAGAAAGCGAACAGAAAGTCGCTCAGTTAGAGGAAGAGAAACAACATTTGGAATTCATGCAGTCTATGAGAAAATATGATGATGTAAGTGCTTATTGTCAGATAGTTACAGTCGGAAAGCGGTATCAATTTCCTATGCGTAATACAAAATGACTGAAAAACGGCAAACTTCCCAGTGCTATATTATCCACATTTTACAACATTTCGCAAAGAAACTTTGGAATATTACTAATTTTGTGATGCTCTTTCAAGCTGTGATGAAATGTTTGTCTAGACTTGTCTAGATCAAAATTTTGTTCATCAGGGAATAGGTCCATTGGCACTACCTATACTGCTACAGATTATACTCACTGTTTAAATTATGGCTTTTTTATAAATAAATAATGGCTTTTTTAATTTCTTTTTTATGTACATCAAATCAGGACAAACAAATTCAGGTACAGTATGTATGAGTATGACTACTGTAAATTTTAAATACATTTTATTATTTTATTGTACCTATACATAATGAGAGGCAAGATTAATGAATGTTTTTTTTTTTAACAGGATGAAGGTATTGAAAATGATTGCAGCAGTGCAGAACTTTCTCAAGATGAAGAGTCAGAAGGAGGTGTTGATGGTAAGACCTAAGTAATAGAATAACTTTATTTATTTTGGATAGTTTTATCAATTCTAAACTGTTCTCCTAAGAGGCCATTTGTGTTTCAGATGAAACGCTCAGTCAGGTTTCAGCGACATCAACAGGGACAAGCGCTGGAGTTTACGAAATCCCGGCAAGGTTACGAACACTTCATAACTTGGTCATACAGTACGCTTCACAGGTTTGTAGCAGCTTTCTTTTGAGAATGAATTTATACCTTGACGTGAACAGGGCTTGAAATAACATTCTCAAAGTTTCCGATCATGGTGAAAACTTAAGTGAAAACCTTGCTTTTCCGTCGATCATAACAATTTCTTGCCGATCATTGATCGATGATCAGCTGTTATTTTAAGCCCTGTATGAAGATTGTTAACACCATATCAAACGTTATTAAAATATTGTATTAGCATGTATATATTAAGAAGCTTTAATTTGTTGTTTGTTTAGGGTCGATATGAGGTTGCTGTACCACTTTGTAAACAAGCTTTGGAAGATTTAGAGAAAACATCAGGTCACGATCACCCAGATGTTGCCACAATGCTGAATATCTTGGCTTTAGTTTACAGGTACGATTGTTTTATCAAAACGTTCACCATAAATAGTCCTAGGGAACCATCACTGCTTGTAAGCCATCACATAAGAGATTGAGAGATTGACTTGAAACAAGTCTATATCTTGGGCTAAACAGTAAAGCCTCGTGGCCAAACGAAAATGAGAGTTGTTAAGAGTTGGTCGTCACACATTGTTAGTATTTACGGGGACATTTCAAACTCTATATGAACAAAATAAAAGTTTGATGAGTGTTCCAACTATGTTTTAACTTCAATAGAATACATGATATAGTGTTGGGAAAGCATTAAGAACAGCTAACCAAGCTCACGTGACTACCAACTCTCATGCACTTTCAATCCAGGCTTAAGATTCTACAAACTTACAAAAATTGGTTCAGTAGAGCTTTTCAATGGCTGGAATGGTATGTGGTGTGTGGTTCAAAATATAAAAATAATCCTGTACAACTAAGTTGTACAAAATATTGTGTCTGTTTGTGGTGTGTCATAATTTATGCGTAAGCTCTTTCCAATAAACTTTTTGTCGCATGGTAAGTATCGACAGACTTCGCCTAGAAGTTACTGTGGAGTATTTTATTGTCCATCATGGTACGCTGTGATAATATATAGGACATAACTAAACATCGTTGTTTTTTAAATTAGCACGGTAAAATGTACAATTTAATTTATAGATATATTCTTAGATCGTTTATTAGGTATTATGTAACAACCAGATTTTGGGCATCTCTCACTGATAGAAGTAATTTTTGAAGAGTTTTGCTGATGGAAGTATTTGAGTGTGAATTTTTTACCTTTATTGGACCTAGAGGTCGCGGAAAGAATGAAGCATTTCAAAAGTGTAGGGGCATTGGCCTAAAGGGACACTTTTGTATGTATATGACCAAAATCAAACGATTTTATGTCGTTCACAGGCCGAACGGAAATTTTTGAAAATATGAAGTCTCTATATAAATGTCAGAAATGGCTTTTACAGAGTTTTTGCTACTGCAAAAAGGGCACTTTCTTTCCAGCAAAAGAGGGCGTTCATTCAAGAAGTACTTTTTTCGTTCTTTAAATGGGGCACTTTAGCCCAGAGAAAAGGCACTTTTTTCACTTTTGAAAAAAGTGGGGGGCACATGCCCCCGTTGCCCCCCGGTCCCGCGGCCCTTGATTAGACTTAACCAGGCGTAGTTGTGAAAAATGCAACTACAGTATACGTCCTCTGGCAGGAATCGAAAGACGCTGTCACACTATTGCGTATCGTACTAGCGTATGCCAGCGTATGAAAAATATTACTCATACGCCGGTATACGCTGACCTACGCTAGGGGTACGTTAGGCATAGGTTGTATACGTTTCAAGAACGGTCGCATACGCTGGCATACGGCGAGACAGAAAATATTTTTAAGCATGTTCAAAAAATTTGTGCGTATCGGACGTATGCTTTATACGATAAGCATACTCTAGGCACACGCTGAATACGCTAGAGGTACGCCAGATGTACGGTACTCATACGCTGGCATTTCAAAGGATTTTTGTGCGTATGAGAATTATTTCATTAATTTTCATACGCTTCTCATACGTTTCTCTCATACGCAATAGTGTGACAGAGCCTGAACATGCAGATTCCGGTGCAGCGCTCTGACCAACTCAGCTACAGAGACCAGACTTGCCACAAGTCGACCTCGAACGAAACGCGACAGACCAGTTGTCGAGTTCCAAACGCAAGTTCAAAATCGCAGGGCCGCAGATTCGATTCCTATTAGAGGGCCTATATAGTTGTATTTTTCGCACTGTTCCTGGTTAGGTTTTAACAAATGTATAAAATTCAAACTCAAAATTTCCATCTATAAAAGCCTTCTACAATAATGTAACCTCACAGGACAATACACTCTTTCGATAATTACGTCACAACTACACTGTTTTCAACTTAGGACCACCTTAAATGGAAAAGATTTCAAGTTTTTTTCTCATGGGTTATGCGCAGAGAAGCGGAACATCCTTCGTCAACACATGCGCGAAAAAATGTTGAATTTTGATCAATGAATATGGAAATAAGCATTAACACGAAAACGAGGCTCCGGGTCATGAGCGCTTCTCTATACATAGCCCATGGGAAAAAAACTTGAAATCCTTTCCATTTAAGGTGGTCCTAAGTTGAAAACGGTGTAGTTGTGACGTAATTATCGAAAGAGTGTATGACAACATACAATACTGTACGTGGCTATGACTTAGTGAAGAATCATACGAGAAAGAAAACGTGTCGTGTCGCCTTACTTCTCAAGCTCTAATTAATAGTAAAAGAAAATAAAACTACTTTAATATTTCTCCATCGCCGTCCTTTTTTCAAAGAAAGTAAAATAGTTTATTTCTAAATTTTTAAATTGATGATGCTCTAAAAGTAGCGTAAATGTTTCTATACAACTTTAAAATCTTAGTGAATAAAAAAATGCATTCACCAAATAGTTAAAACAAAATAAAGTAAAATCTTTGTCCAATTTATAAATAATTTAACAGTGATACTTTGAGACCTAAACTAAAACGCTATTCGTTCGTTTCTTTAATTGAGCAATTAGAATCAGCGTAATTGCATTACTATTAATTAGTCTGAAAGTCTCGGCTGACACGTTTCTCTTTTCTTCGTATAGATTCAATATAGTCCACAAGACTGTTAAGCTCCCTAGATATATAATCCAAGATATTCTACAATTTATCATGTCGCCCGTACGGACCAAGATTGATCACCAGGCCATTACAACGTGCTCGGTCGAAAGTGAACCCGCGGGCTTTGTGGTCAGTTCGGAACTACCGCTGGACGAGATGGAAGTTGAACTGAGCCGGCTGTGTGAGTCACGTGCTGACCTTCATGATGAGTCGATTGAAAAATGTTTGTTTGATCATTTGCACGGTGGTATACTACTATCGAGTAGGTAGAACCTGCTCTACGCATGATCGGAATTTCAAGATTATCTTTTCATATGCTCATGTCAAAATGCCAATTGTAAACATGTTACCAATTGGGAAATGTTTGATCATTTAAAGAGTGGTAGATAACCTTCTTTTGGTAGAAGCTTGGTTTTCACAAGGTGTGCACTTGGTTTTCACAAGATGTGCACTTGGTTTTCACAAGGTGTGCACAAATCGAATCGGTGTGCACAATTATTACGAAATTGCGTGTCTGAACGATTAAGACGATAGTCTTATGATGGAAGTCTGGTTTATTTGAAATGCCCAGCAGTAATATAAATCGTGTTATCTTGTCGTTTTGTGTCTCCAGAGGTTTTCTAGTGCTGGATATATTAGTCTTAATCTCACCTACATATACATGTCGATACATGATGCTGTAATATTGCGTGTTATTGTGTTGCCAAGAGCGAGCTTAGACAAGTGACGTTTGTCAACAATGACGTCAGATTGTCGAGGGGGGACTGGACTAAAAACTGTGTTTGTATCAGTTTGTGGTAATCTTCAACACATGTAACAAAACATAAGATTTTAGTTTAAGTTTTTTGCTTGCTTACACGAGCGCCATGATGCAAAATACCGTCAAAATTAGTCGTACCAATTTTCAGGTGACGTTCGTGTTGAGAAAAGCGTCGTTTGCTTAAGCTTTCTATTTAACAATTAGTCGCCGAAGGCGAGGTGATTACAAGCCTATATTCACTGAGCCGAAGGCGAAGTGAATATAGGCTTGTAATCACCGAGCCTGAGGCGACTAATTGTTTTAGTATAAATTTCCAGGTGTTTACAAACAATAATCCACACAACTTTATAAAAATTCACTTCAAATAAATTTATTTTCACTATAAATAGTTTGTTTACAAAATTTAAATCTCAGACACGGCTCTGTTTCGCGTTGCGGCTATTGACTAAGCCAGTTTTTTTCCAAATAAAAGCACATGAAGTTTAATATTTTACCTTGAAATATTTTTAAACCATATTTTGTAGCTTGTTTTTATTTTTTTCGGAATGCTATCTTTAATTTTGGCAGTTTCCTCCTCTGTTACTACGGCAAAACGAGCAGCCATTTTGAAAAAAAAGCTATAGTCACTGACCAGTGACTATCACTTCAGAGACAGAGAAGTGTCTATATCGTGTGTGTTTTGTGTTATGAGTTTCTTTGGGTGCAACGCATGCAGCTGCTTGCAACAGTGATTGACCCTATTGAGTATTTGTTTCTGCGTTCAGAATATTGAGATCGCTTCTTGATTCAGAAAACCTTTGTCTCATTTGATGAGGTTTATTTAAGCCTAGTTTCCATTTGGTCGTTGGTTGTCTATATAATGAAATAGTCTAATATAATAACAGTCTTTTTGTGTGATATGCAAATCAGTCTTAATGATTGCAGAGTTTTATAAAGTCTTGTTGACACTCTATTACATCAGCCACTTGTCGTGCAAGCGACAACTAACGACCAAATGGAAACTAGGCTTTAACAGCTGCGAGATGCCCGTTTCCGGAGTGTAGTTAGTCGTGGTATTAAGGGGTGATAAATTATTATAATGATTGATTTGGGAACCACAGATTTTCAATTTTAGACAAAAAATTATTAAAGCTATATTTAAAAGGATAATTTAACAGTATTATATATAAAACTTAATTTGAATATTGTATTACACACGTAAAAACACACAAGTTGTAACAAACCTGCAGCAGACTTGTAGCAATGCTGTTCCAACAACTTGTCAACAGGATGTGTTCGCACTGCTTGTTCCCAGCTTGTTGACAACTTGCTACAACGTTGTTGGCGGTTGTTGAGCTCAACAGACTTGTTACAAGTTGTTCCAACAATTTGTTATCGTCCTGCAATTCACACAATTTGTCAAGAAGTTGTGAGTGACAAACTTGTAGCAACTTGATAAAATAACAGCATTGTTACAACTTGTTGACAAGCTTGCTACAAGCCTGTTGCGAACACATCTTGTTGACAAGTTGTGACATTTTTACGTGTGTAACAGTGTAAGATGTAGGGTAATCATATCTCTTCTGCTTGTGCAGCACGTTCGCATTATATAATGAGACAACTCTTTACATCTGCGTTATAGAGGAATAAGAATGTAGATCTAGTCTTAGTTTATTGTAGATTGAAAGTTTCTTTAGGTTTTAGACTGTACTATAGAACAAAAATATTTTTATAAGATATATAAGACTTTTAATGTGTACAGTTTTATTATATAAGTTTATTAAATATTATATATAAGTATTATTATTAAAGTTTTATTATGTGGTTTGTATGTTGTTTAATATGTGTTAATAAATATTTTTATTTTAAATGTAAACTTATACATCTTAGACCTAACCATACAGGAGGGCCTATTGTTGCATTTTTAACAACTGCTTTGGTTAGATCAAGTCGTATGCAATAGATTTCTCTTTTTTTACATGCCATTGGCTTATCCAAAATGATCAGTTTTGAAAGGGGAAACATATTAGTTTTGAAAATGATTTGGGCTACTACCGTGTCGCAGATTTAAGCGTGCCTGTGTGATTTTCAAGAAGAGTCATTTGCATATTTGTGTAATTGTTTTTTGACAATGCGATATAAATCACTTGCAAAAATCTTCACTAATGTTTCAGTTAGACATGTGTACCACAGACATATATCATCCTTTCATGCTCCCAGATCCAATTAGGAAGGTTACTTTATCTCAACACCAGGCGCCCAATCGTGAAATCGTTGCGCGGTTTCTGATAAGACGGTCTGAATTTGCTTTCTTTCAGAGACCAGAACAAGTATAAAGAAGCTGCTAACTTGCTTCACGATGCATTAACGATCAGAGAGAAAACGCTGGGAGAAGATCATCCTGCTGTACGTGTTGTATTGCTAAACTTAATATTAACTTAAAAAAGTAACAGTGGTTTCATTTCTGTGACTGAGGTTCCATTCCTGCAGTATGCTCTTGTCTGGTTATAATTCCACCTCAGCCGCATAAAAAGAGTGCTTCCAGTTTGACTCTACCAAACACCGTCGGTTTTCGTCAAGTATTTTAGTTTACCATTGTAGTAAAACTGGAGCAATAAGAGATGTCCCATAATAGACCTCGAAGAAGAAAGGGATAAAGTTAGTTTAGGTTTCCTTCTGTAGTAACACTGGATCAATAAGAGATGATCCTTACTGGATGTCTGGGAAGAACAAACAAATTAGAACTGATAGAGCTATCCAGCGTAAATTAACTAAGTTCTAGTTTATTCCATGTTTCCTCCTGTAGTAATACTGGACCAATAAAAGATGATCCTTACTAGACCTCCAGGAAGAACAGCTTAGAACTGATAGAGCTATCCAGTATAAATAAAGTTAGTTTAGGTTTCCTCCTGTAGTAACACTGGATAAGAGATGACTCTTACTGGACTTCTGGGGAGAACAATTTAGAACTGATAGAACTATTCAGTATAAATAAAGTTAGTTTAGTTTAGGTTTCCTCCTGTAGTAACACTGGATCAATAAGAGATGATCCTTACTGGACCTCTAGGAAGAACAATTTAGAACTGATAGAACTATTCAGTATAAATAAAGTTAGTTTAGTTTAGGTTTCCTCCTGTAGTAACACTGGATCAATAAGAGATGATCCTTACTGGACCTCTAGGAAGAACAGTTTAGAACTGATAGAGCTATCCAGTATAAATAAAGTTAGCTTAGTTTAGGTTTCCTCCTGTAGTAACACTGGATGAGAGATGACTTTTACTGGACTTCTAGGGAGAACAATTTAGAACTGATAGAACTATTCAGTATAAATAAAGTTAGTTTAGTTTAGGTTTCCTCCTGTAGTAACACTGGATGAGAGATGACTTTTACTGGACTTCTGGGAAGAACAGTTTAGAACTGATAGAACTATTCAGTATAAATAAAGTTAGTTTAGTTTAGGTTTCCTCCTGTAGTAACACTGGATGAGAGATGATTCTTACTGGATCTCTAGGAAGAACAGTTCAGAACTGATAGAGCTATCCAGTATAAATAAAGTTAGTTTAGTTTAGGTTTCCTCCTTCCTTCAGTAACACTGGATCGATTAGCGATGATCCTTACTGGACCTCTACTTATAAGTGATAATACTATCCAGTATAAATAACGTTACCGTCAGTTTAGTAAACTTTCTTTTAAAGGGTGTGGTCACTCCCTTTCTGAATTCTATCTTAATCCACGTAGGTTGCTGCAACATTAAACAACCTGGCAGTGTTGTATGGCAAGAGAGGAAAATACAAGGATGCAGAACCTTTGTGCAAGCGAGCTCTGGAAATACGAGAGAAGGTTTGTCTCGGGGACCACAAAAATTTTATTGAGGTAATTTGATTAAACAATAAAAACTGGTACATGAAATATGTTTTCCATTTGTAGGTTCTAGGCAATGATCATCCCGATGTGGCGAAACAGTTGAACAACTTGGCCTTGCTTTGTCAAAACCAAGGGAAATATGAAGAGGTGTGTTGATTCATGTTTTATCTTTGGTGTTTGTTGGTCTAACTATTGTAACACCAGTTGTGGAATAGCCAGCCTCGCTTGCTTGTCTTAAACTATTGAATGAAGTAGTAGTATTCGTTATCTAGGTTGAAAAGTACTATCAAAGAGCGTTGGAAATTTACACGACAAAGCTTGGTCCCGATGATCCAAATGTCGCTAAAACTAAGAACAATTTGGTAAGGTTTCGTGGTAAAGTGTGAGATTGATATGAATCTCATTAGTTTATATACAAATGGTTACGTCATTAATAGTGGTTAATATTAATTGGATCACATCACATGTTTTCTAGTGTGACTATCACGTGTAAGAAATGTAATGTCGTGTAGCAACATTTTTTTTCATTGTTCAGGCATCAGCTTATCTCAAGCAGGGAAAATACAAAGCTGCAGAAACATTGTATAAACAGGTATGACCTCCTACTATCATACCTCTATATTATGTTACACACGCAAAAATCTCACATCTTGTTGCAAGTCTGGCAACAAGCCATCAACAAGTTGTGTTCGCACTGCTTGTCCCAAGTTGTCAACAAATTTGGAACAAACTGTTATCAACTTGTAACAAGCTTGATAATATTATCAGACTTGTTGCAAGGTTGTTCCACAAGTCCGATACAGTCATGATATAACAATATTGTTACAACTTTGTGTCGTCAACCTTGTAACATTCTTCTTATATCGTGACTGTATCAGACTTGTTAGAACAACCTTGTAACAAGTCTGACAATGCCATCAAGCTTGTTACAAGTTGCTAACAACTTGTTTCAAACTTGTTACAACAACTGGGAACAAGCAGTGCGAACACAACTTGTCGACAGCTTGTGAACAGATTTGTAACAACTTGTTTGCAGAACTGTAACAACTTGTGCGTTTTTACTTGTCAACAATTTCTCTCGTCTTAGGTCTTAACTCGTGCGCATGAGCGTGAATTCGGGACTGAGACGGATGGCAAGTATGACGAGCGTGGTCGGGGTGGGGATAACGCTCCTTATGGTGAATACGGGGGGTGGCACAAGGCTGCCAAGGTCGACAGTCCTACAGTCACGACTACATTACGTAACCTGGGAGCCTTATATCGAAGACAAGGGAAGTATGAAGCCGCAGAAACATTGGAGGAGTGCGCCTTAAGATCGAAGAAAAATGTACGTGGACACTGGAATTATAGTTTAGAGTTAAAGTTCGTTTAGTTTAGATTTCCTCGTGTAGTAACACTGGATCAATATGAGATGATCCTTACTGAACCTCTAGGAAGAACAGTTTAGAACTGATAGAGATATCCAGTATAAATAAAGTTATTTTAGTTTAGGTTTCCTCCTGTAGTAACACTGGATCAATAAGAGATGATCCTTACTGAACCTCTAGGAAGAACAGTTTAGAACTGATAGAGATATCCAGTATAAATAAAGTTAGTTTAGATGAAGTTTAGCTCTTATTTCTTGATGTTGAAATTTCATCTATTGACAGGCACTAGATGTGATACGCCAAAGCAAGGTTGTCCAAATTCTCTCCGATGGCGGAACTTATTCCCCTAACACACACTCCCCTCGGAGTTCGTCCCCTGTTGGCACAAGTCCCGGTCGCCTGGTGGACAAAGACGAGGCAATGTTGCGAGAGGAAGACAAACGTGGCGCGAACAAACGCGAGAAGGCGTTCACAAGGCTTAGGAAATCGTTAAGTAATCGTGGACAGAGATTGATGGAAAAGATGGGCGCAGGAGCCAGCGGTGAGTCTGAGCAGCAGTTGAGTCGGTCCTCGTCACGTGATAATCTATCCGAGCAAGCTAAGGTTCCTGGATCTGAGCGAATATCACGAAGTACATCTCATCTCGCAGAAATCAGAAGCAGTCAAGTAGGGCATGGCCCTAATGCATTTCATCCATAAAGTTTTCCGAAGCAGAAATCAGGTTTAAATCAGAGATCAGTTTTCCTCTTTCAAAGATAAATTTCAGATATAATTGCTTTATTCCAACTCCAGACCACAGCCCTAATACATTCATCCATCCCTCACATCATGAGCTTTAAGAAATTAAGATTCGAAATTTGAACTGGTATAAATGCAGACATCCTAGATCGATTTTCCCTTTTGAAAGATAAATTTCAAATCTAATTACTTATTGCCTCAAGAAACCATTACAACATACCATTTATCTGACTTTTCGAGTATTTTACTCTGGCTTACAGCAGATCATTTTTCTCTTCACAAGGAAAAGCCCGGATAGTCCAATGTCAATATGTTAGATAACTTGGGACAAGCAGTGCGAACACAACTTGTTGACAAGCCGTCAACAAGTTGTGTTCGCACTGCTTGCATCCCACAACAATTTTGGAACAAGCTGTCAATATTAAAGTTATTGAGTTAACATATTAGGATTGCAATTCCAGTGCCATTACTGTTTGTGGGAGAATTGCCACAGATTTAGGTACCTTTTAAATTAAAAGTAATCATTCGTAACGAAGATAATATAAGAAAAAGAGATGTAATTATTATTCACAATGTAATATCGACTTGTATCAAGCGGTCATTAAAATTCTTGAAAACAAAGTTTTGAATGTTTTAATTACACACGTAATATCGCACAAGTTGTTACAGGTCTGCAAACAAGTTGTTACAAATCTGTTCACAAGCTGTCGACAAGTTGTGTTCGCACTGCTTGTTCCCAGTTGTTGTAACAAGTTTGTGACAAGTTTGGAACAAACTGTTAACAACTTGTAACAAGCTTGATGGCACTATCAGACTTGTTACAAGGTTGTTCTAACAAGTCTGATACAGTCACGATGAACAAGAATGTTACAAGGTTGACTACACAAGGTTGTGACAATACTGCTATATCATGACTGTATCGGACTTGTTGGAACAACCTTGCAACAAGTCTGATAATATCAACAAGGTTG